TATGTGGGTGAAATGATGATACCATGCCAACTTTCAACCTTTTTCAGAGTTCATTTGTAGTTCTTTTCAATTTTAAGGTCATTTAGCTCAAAAAATCAATAAATGCATGAAAAATAAAATGATGACGTGGCTTCGAATGGTGCATACTAAATGCACAAAAAGTCTGGAGTTGAATAAGTTTTATAAAATGAAATGCCTTTTTGTAACAGATGAGTTTTAGTCCAAAACCCTGATACTTGAAAGAGATTGTCCATTTTGTACACGAAGTGCATCCTGTGTGTCGTAACCCTTTCAACTTTTTTGCACATGCTATGTGGGTGAAATGATGATACCATGCCAACTTTCAACCTTTTCAGAGTTCATTTGTAGTGTCTTTCAATTTCACGGTCATTTAGATTAAAAAATTCAGTAAATGCATAAAAAATAGCAAATGATGTTAGAAAGGGTTCAAAATTGATTCGAAATTAATCACACATAAGTACCCTAACTATTACAAAGATTCCCTCCGGTTTGTCTGAAGTGGGACTTTCCAGATATATAAGTCCGAAAACTCACTATAGAATAAAGTGATGACAGTGAAGCCGGTCACATCCGAGAGTGGAATCTTTGGGTGTAAAACTTTTTCTTCGCGTGTGTCCCTTTGCGACGTAGCCATGGACAATCTTCATCATTTAACTGGATGCTCGGGTCAATATTCACTCTGTAGGGAGTAATTTCATGGAACTTTTCATAATCTTCTGAAATGTCCATCTTGTCCTCCACTCCCACGATGTTTCTTTTCCCTGAAAGAATTATGTGGCGCTTTGGCTCATCGTATGATGTATTCGCTTCTTTACCTTTTCTTTTTATCGGCTTGGTAGACATGTCCTTCACATAGAAAACCCGTGCCACATCATTGGCTAGGATGAATGATTCGTCTGCGTACGCAAGATTGTTGAGATCCACTGTTGTCATAACGTATTGCGGGTCTGCCATTACCCAGGCTCCTATCAAATTGACCCATTTGCACCGAAATAAAGGGACCTTCAAATTACGTCCATAGTCAAGTTCCTGTATCTCCTCTATGTAACCATAATATGTGTTCTTTGGCCTACTGGTGTTTGCTGCATCAAAGCGGACACCACTGTTTTCGTTGGTGCTCTTTTTATCTTGGGCGATCGTGTAAAATGTATTCCATTTATCTCGTACCCTTTGAAAGTCAATATATTCAAAGATGGTCACTTGGACAACAAGTACAACTCATCTTCAACAGCGTCGTCATGCATGAGACGTGTCTGCAACCAACCGGCGGAAGTCCCCATTTGTTCAGGTGTAATTTTGTCGTGAGACTCCTCCCGGTGTTTGGAGCATACAATATTCTTGTGTTCATCGATATACGGAGCCACCAAGGAGGAATTTTGTATAACTGTGTAGTGTGCTTGAATGAGAGAATGACCGTCCATACATATTATTGCTTTTGGTCCTAGGGTGCCTTTTCCACCCAGTCTGCCCTCATGCCGCGATTCGGAAACACCAATCGGCTTAAGATCAGGAATAAAGTCAACACAAAACTCAATGGCCTCCTCATTTTCATGGCCCTTGGAGATGCTTCCTTCTGGCCTAGCACGGTTATGAACATATTTCTTTCAGACTCCCATGAACCTCTCAAAGGGGAACATATTGTGTAGAAATACAGGACCCAGAATGGCAATCTCTTCGACTAGGATAACTAGGACGTGCGTCATGATATTGAATAAGGATGGTGGAAACACCAACTCGAAACTGATAAGACATTGCCCCAAATCATTCTCTAACCTTGGTATGATTTCTGGATCAATTACCTTCTGAGAGATTGCACTGAGGAATGCACATAGCTTCACAATTGCTAATCGAACGTTTTTCGATAGAAGCCTCCTCAATGCAACCGGAAGCATTTGCGTCATAATCACATGGCAGTCATGAGACTTTAGGTTCTGAAACTTTTTCTCTGGCATATTTATTATTTCCTTTATGTTCGACGAGAAGCCAGATCGGACCTTCAAACTAGCAGGCATTCGAAGAAGATTTCCTTCTCATCTTTGGTAAGAGCATAGCTGGCACGACCATGATGTATGTCGTCTTTTCCATGCATACGCTGCTGGTCCTCCCGTGCCTCAGGTGTATCGTTTGTCTTTCCATACATGCCCAAGAAGACTAGCAGGTTGACGCAAAGATTCTTCGTCACGTGCATCACGTCAATTGCAGAGCGGACCTCTAGGTCTTTTCATTAGGGTAGGTCCCAAAATATAGATTTCTTCTTCCACATGGGTGCGCGTCCGTCAGCGTCATTCGGAACAGATTGTCCGCCAGGACCCTTTCTAAAGATTACTTTTAAATCCTTGACCATATCAAGTACATCATCACTAGTACGGTGGCGAGACTTCTTTCCGTGATCTGCCTCACCTTTGAAAATGCTTGCCTTTCTGTCTTACGGGATGCCTGCTCGGAAGAAATCGACAATGTCCCAAGTACACATTCTTCTTACAATTATCCAAATATATACTGTCAGTATCATCTAAATAGTGCGTGCATGCGCGATATTCCTTGTTTTTTTTGTCCTGAAAGGTTACTGAGAGCAGGCCAAGCATTGATTGTCACAAAGAACAATGCATGTAGGTCAAATTCCTCCCGATTGAGCTCATCCCACACATGTACACCTTTTTTCATTCCATAGTTGTAAGAGTTCTTCAACTAATGGCCTTAGGTACACATCAATGTCGTTGCTGGGTTGCTTAGGGCCTTGGATGAGCACTGGCATCATAATAAACTTCCGCTTCATGCACAGCCAAGGAGGAAGGTTATACATACATAGAGTCACATGACAGGTGCTATGACTGCTGCTCTGCTTTCCAAAAGGATTAATGCCATATGTGCTTAGACCAAACCATACGTTCCTTGCGTCACCTGGAAAGTCCTCCCACTTTCTCTCGATTTTTCTCCACTGCGACCCACCAGCAGGTACTCTCAGCTTTCCGTCTTTCTTACGGTCCTCTTTGTGCCATCACATCAACCTGGCATGCTCTTTGTTTTGGAACAAATGTTTCAACCGTGGTATTATAGGAGCATACCACATCACCTTGGCAGGAACCATCTTCCTGGGGCGCTCGCCGTCAACATCACCAGGGTCATCGCGGTTGATCTTATAACGCATTGCATAGCATACCGGGCATGCATTCAAATCCCTGTACTCACCGTTGCAGAGGATACAGTCATTAGGGCATGCACGTATCATCAGCACCTCTAATCCTAGAGGGCAGACAACCTTCTTTGCTTCGTACGTACTGTCGGACAATTCGTTGTCCTTTGGAAGCATCTTCTTTAACATTATAAACAACTTTTCAAATCCCTTATCAGGTACACCATTTTCTGCCTTCCATTGCAACAATTCCAGTGTGATGCCCAACTTTTTCTTGTCAGCTTCGCAATTTGGGTACAACAATTTCTGGTGATCCTCTAACATGCGCTGCAACTTCAGCCTCTCCTTTTCACTTGCGCAGTTTCTCTTTGCATCGGCAATGGCTTGACCAAGATCATTAGCGGGCTCATCTGATGCCTTTTCTTCAGCTTCTTCCCACATTGCCAGCTCAACTTCTTCCCACATTGTTGTACCATCGTATACAGAGAACCCATGGCTAGGATAGCTGTCATCGTCCTCTTCTTCTTCATTGTCTTCCATCATAACCCCTTTTTCTCCGTACTTGGTCCAAACATTATAGTGGGCCATGAAGCCGAACTCAAACAGGTGGACCTGAATGGTTCTTGACTTAGAGTAATTTTGATCATTCTTACAGACAGCACATGGACAACACATAAAGTCATCCGCCCGCTTGTTTGCCTCTACCCTAATCAGAAAAGTATGCACACCTTTAACGAACTAGGAAGAGCATCGGTCATCGTACATCTATTGCCGGCTCATCTTCATTACACAATGCCAAAAAGACCAAATTAATACAAGTTCATACATAAAGTTCGTACACACTTATTCTCATAAAACAACATACAAACTCTCTAGTTAAAGCATTTAAATGCAACAACAAATGCGATCAAGATCGCAACTAAGGTAACAATTGATCCAACAGCATAATGATACCCAGCCTCACTATCAATGGCATATTTTTTAGTCTTTCTAATCTTCAAGGGCATTTTATCCATCTTGATCTTGTGATCATCGACGACGTCGACAACATACAACTCCAGTTTCATCTTCTCTTCTTCAATTCTTTTCAATTTTTCTTTCAAATACTCGTTTTATTTTTCAACTACAACCTCTTGACAAGAGGGTCGGTTGGAATTTCCGGTTCACATACCTCCTAGATAAAAATATCTATGTCAACCTGATGTGCATAATTTGTCATAAACACGAAATGCAACAAATAGTTATAGAAGAGAATATACCACATCCGAATCATAAACCGGACGAGGGCCGATGGGGACAGATATCAAAACCATGCCACTATGTATAACAAACAACGTACGGGTAAGAAAATTATATAGGAAGACCTTTAGTGCCGGTTCATGACACAAACCGGGACTAAATATGAGCTTCTAATACCGGTTCGTGCCATGAACCGGGACTAAAGGGACTGGTGGGGCCCAGACTAACAACAGCCTGCCACCATCCCTTTAGTCTCGGTTCGTGGCACAAACTGGTACTATAAATTCAACACGAACCGAGACTAATGATGTCTGCCCGCCTAGCCGTCGGAAGCGGCACTAATGATAACATTAGTGCCGGTTCGTTTATAAACCGGGACTAATGTGTCTCATGTAAAGTAGTTTCTCTACTAGTGGATAGCCCATTTGCCTCTGGTTGTTGAAGCTTACTCACGGTTTGTAGACATGTCACATGATAACACTCCTAAAGGATACAAATTGGATGTCATATGATAACATCAAGGGAATATTTTAACCTCTGGTCTCCTCACAATTCAGTTGATGAGGAGCTTACACTAGTAGAAAACAAGGCATATGTTCGGGTCTGGTTAGCCCATTAGTTCCGGTTCGGTCACGAATCGGGACCCATAGGCCCATTGGTCCCGGTTCGTGAGGCCAGGGGCCTGCCGGGCCTCGTGGGCTTGCGAGTCTTCAGTTTTAACAGCAGTTTCTTCTTGAGCTTGAGCAACTAAGCCGCCGAGCCATCCTTGTACACCCTTCCGGACCTTCTCGCTGTCGTCGGCGGCGCGGTCGCGGAAGGTCTCGACGTCATCATCCATGCTCGCGTTGCTGGACAAGATCAGCTCCTTCTTCCACTCCTCCGTCGGGGTGAAGTCGCAGTACTTCTCCCCGAACTCGTACATATCTCGAGGTTCGACGCTGGCAATGTTGTGCGTGTGCTTCCTCGCCACGCCGGCGGCCTCCCTGGCGCGCAGCTGCTCCTCCACTGACCGCAGCATCTGGTCCTTTGACGGCAGCGTGCGGCGGCCGGACAGCACCTGCGCCACCCACCGCGCCTGCACCTCGAAGAACCATGGGATCAGGACCTTCCTCGGCACGCCCACGAAGGAGAGCGTCGGCGCCAGGGACGGTGGGAACACGTGCTCGAACAGCGGCCCGACCACGTAGCCGTCGTCGCTCACGGTGACCGCGCCGCCGGTGTCCAGGAAGGGGAACGAGTAGGCATAACCCGTGCAGTAGATGACCGTGTCGGCCATGACGGAGGAGCCGTCTGTGAACTCCACCTGCCCGTCCGTGTGTAGCTGGCGTACCCGCGGGTGGAGGCGCAGGACGTCGCCGTGGTTGGCCAGCATCCTCGACATTGCCGGCGTGGCGGCCTCGGCCTCGGAGCTGGCGGCGAGGTGCACCTCCCTCGCGACGCGGCCGAGGTCTAGCGCGATGTCCTTGCCACTGGCCCCGCACCCGACAACCACCACGGCCTCGCCATGGAACGGCTCCGGCGTCCTGTACGAGTGGCTGTGCAGCTGCCGGCGCCTCCATTCCCCCATGCCTTGGATGTCGCTCGGCAGCATCGGCTGCGCGTAGTTGCCGGTAGCCACGACAACGGCGTCGAACATCTCCTCATCTTTCTGCGCATCATCATCATCAGCAGCGGTGCCACTGAGGCGCCGCACGGACCTCACCGCCCACCGGCGCGTGCTTGTCGACATCGACATCGCCACGGGGGCGACCCTCAGGACCCGGGTGTTGAGCCTGACGGCGTCCATGAGGCCAAACGCGTCGCAGAAGTCCCGGAGGTAGCAGTGCAGCTCGCGGTGGCCGGGGTAGCGGCGCGGGTCGCGGCCGGCGCCCTCCCGGGGCAGGAACTGGAAGTCGGAGAAGCCCATGACCTCCCGCGGGCTGATGAGACGAAGGCATGCGTATATGCTACTTGGCACGCGCACCGGCGCCACGGCGCCGAGCGGGTCCACGACGTCCGTCCTGGAGTCGTACAGCCACTGCCCGCCGACGTCGCTGCTCTGCTCCATGACCGTGACTGCGTGACCCTCCCGCCGCAGCTCGCGCGCCGCCGCCAAGCCGGCCATGCCGGCCCCCACAACGCACACGCTCTTCAACTGTAGCACCGGCTCGCCGTCTCCAGCAGCCATGCCCGATCGATCGATGGTGACTCTCCTTGACGCAGAGTTTTCTTTGGCTTCACCACGATGTGTCCGTAAGATTCCTAACTACTCCATAGAGGAATTGTATATACCGCGATGATTGTCCTGCATGTGCAACTTTGGTATTAATGGATAAACAACTCTCAGTCTTGTGCAGTTCGTCAAAAAATAATGAAGTTTTTTTTGTTGAAATGAAAAATAACAACTTAGTCGTGCAGCGATTTCGTCAAAAAATAAACAATGTAGTCAAGTCCTTTGTCGTGGCTCAACGTTGATTGGAGGTGGCACCGCGTACCTTTTCTTATAACGAACGCAATGGCTGCCCTGCTTTAAATTAAGAGAGTTGCTATACACACGACGAAATTGCAGCCGACGCATGCACGATCCATTGTAACAGCCCCAGCAGCGAGTGTACATGCGGAAGGCAATCGGTTTTTTCTGCTGATTGATGCATGCACAGTGTATCGTACACATGTCGTGTAATTTGTGTCGTATGTGAAACCATTTTGTACATTATACGTCAACGCACCCCTCACGTGTGGCTTCCTCAGGCCTAAACGTGAACCGTAAGTGGGCTGCAATTTAATTGCGTCAGCCGGGTCTTGAACACAAGACCTCTTGGCTCTGATACCATGTAGAAGTGCATGCTCTAGTCAATGTAACCAAAAGACCGATCTAATGAAAGAGATTAGGCAACACATTATACGTCAACAGAACTAAGAGTAAGTTACAGATAAAAAGGTCTGGCGCAACAGATTGACAGGAGCATCAAACCCCACAAGAACACGCGGGCTCACAACAAAACAAAATGACATGGCTTCCCTAAGCTCCCTTAGACCATCTAGCAGCTTGATAAACTTGTCATAGCTTGCTCATCACCATCTCCACTTGCTCAGCGTCCTTTTGCTTTCCGAGAGGCCTCCATTGCTGCATATATCCTGGGTGTACCTCGACTTCTATAACATGAAAATAATAGGAATTTCATCCAAGTCCTCCCAAAATGCAAATAGGATCCTAGAACATAAAGCAAAAACACAATCGGTTCTTGACGCGCCCGGCATCCTCGCCTGGACGCTCACTACCAGAATAACTGCGTACGCCGACGACCGGATCTATGCCGTCGGCCCCCGTCGGCATAGATGGATGTATCCCGGCAGCCCAGGTCAAGCCGTCGGCATATATCGCCGCCGTCGGCATCGTGAAAAATATGCCTACGGCGGCCGTCGGCTTAGATCAAGCCGTCGGCAAACATGTGGGCCCGGCTATCCAGCGGCGACGACTGTTTGACGGCGTGAGGCCTACGTCGACGGCGGCTAACAGGGGCCATTGGCATAGCTATGCCGACGTCATCGATCCGCGAGACCGCCACGTCATCGATCCGAGCCCCTTGCCGGTCCATGGGGTGGCGTAGGTACGCCGATGGCCTTGTCGTCGGCATAGGCCTAGCCAATGGCCTCTGCCATGTCATCGATCCGCGAGACATGCCACGTCATCGATCCAGGGAACTGGCGGTCCGTGGCTGTAGCTTTGCCGTCGGCATAGATTTCTACTAATTTTTTTCCTATTTTATTTATTTTCTAATTTTTATTATTTAAAAAAACTAATTTGGTTAACTTAAATGTGCATTATTTAAAAAAAACATACCTCGATTATATCGACTGCCCCCCCCCCCCTCACAGGCGTCGCTGCCGCCGAGGGGGGAAACCGTCACGTCGGGCCGACACGGAGGGAATCTTGGGGTGGGTTGGGTCGGGACCATGTTCGGGGGTGTAGCTATGGGCTGGGCTAGGACAACCAGGTGAAAAGGTCCACCGACCAAACCCTGTCCGGTGGAAGTCAAAGGGCTGTTGGGGAACGTAGTAATTTCAAAAAATTTCCTACGCACACGCAAGATCATGGTGATGCATAGCAACGAGAGGGGAGAGTGTGTCCACGTACCCTCGTAGACCGAAAGGGAAGCGTTAGCACAACACGGTTGATGTAGTCGTACGTCTTCATGGTCCGACCGATCAAGCACCGAAAGTACGGCACATCAGAGTTCTTGCACACGTTCAGCTCGATGACGTCCCTTAAACTCTGATCCAGCCGAGCTTCGAGGGAGAGTTCCGTCAGCACGACGGCGTGGTGACGATGATGATGTTCTACCGACGTAGGGCTTCGCCTAAGCACCGCTACGATATTAGCGATGAGGACTATGGTGGAGGGGGGCACCGCACACGGCTAAGAGATCAATGATCAATTGTTGTGTCTATGGGGTGCCCCCCTCCCCCGTATATAAAGGAGTGGAGGAGGGAGCCGGCCAAAAGGAGGAGGCGCGCCCAAGGGGGGGAGTCCTACTCCCATCGGGAGTAGGAATCCTCCCTTTCCTATTTTGGGAGGGAGAGGGAAGGAAGAGGAAGGAGGGAGGAAGGAAAGGGGGGCCGGCCCCCTCCCAATTCGGATTGGGTTGGGGGGGGGGCGCCCCCTCCCTTGCTCCTTTCCCCTCCTTTCCACTAGAGCCCATTAAGGCCCATATACCTCCCGGGGGGTTCCGATAACTCCCGGAGCTCCGGCATTGTCCCAATCTCACCCAGAACTATTCCGGTGTCCAAATATAGTCATCCAATATATCGATCTTTATGTCTCGACCATTTCGAGACTCCTCGTCATGTCCGTGGTCACATCCGGGATTCCGAACTACCTTCGTTACATCAAAACAAATAAACTCATAATATAATCGTCATCTAACTTTAAGCTTGCGGACCCTACGGGTTCGAGAACTATGTAGACATGACCGAGACTCGTCTCCGGTCAATAACCAATAGCGGAACCTGGATGCTCATATTGGCTCCTGCATATTCTATGAAGATCTTTATCGGTCAAACCGCATAACAACATACGTTGTTCCCTTTGTCATCGGTATGTTACTTGCCCGAGATTTGATCATCGGTATCTCAATACCTAGTTCAATCTCGTTACCGGCAAGTCTCTTTACTCGTTACGTAATGCATCATCCCGTAACTAACTCATTAGCTACATTGCTTGCAAGGCTTATAGTGATGTACATTACCGAGAGGGCCCAGAGATACCTCTCCGACAATCGGAGTGACAAATCCTAATCTTGAAATACGTCAACTCAACAAGTACCTTCGGAGACACCTGTAGAGCACCTTTATAATCACCCAATTACGTTGTGACATTTGGTAGCACACAAAGTGTTCCTCCGCTAATCGGGAGTTACATAATCTCATAGTCATAGGAACATGTATAAGTCATGAAGAAAGCAATAGCAATATAATAAACGATCAAGTGCTAAGCTAACGGAATGGGTCAAGTCAATCACATCATTCTCCTAATGATGTGATCCCGTTAATCAAATGACAACTCATGTCTATGGTTAGGAAACTTAACAATCTTTGATTCACGAGCTAGTCAAGTAGAGGCATACTAGTGACACTATGTTTGTCTATGTATTCACACATGTATTATGTTTCCGGGTAATACAATTTGAGCATTAATAATAAACATTTATCATGATATGAGGAAATAAATAATAACTTTATTATTGCCTCTAGGGCATATTTCCTTCAGTCTCCCACTTGCACTAGAGTCAATAATATAGATTACATAGTAATGATTCTAACACCCATGGAGCCTTGTTGCTGATCATGTTTTGCTCATGGAAGAGGCTTAGTCAACGGGTCTGCAACATTCAGATCCGTATGTATCTTGCAAATCTCTATGTCTCCCACCTGGACTCGGTCCTGGATGGAATTGAAGCGTCTCTTGATGTGCTTGATTCTCTTGTGAAGTCTGGATTCCTTTGCCAAGGAAATTATACCAGTATTGTCACAAAAGATTTTCATTGGACCCGATGCACTAGGTATGATACCTAGATCGGATATGAACTCCTTCATCCAGACTCCTTCATTTGCTGCTTCCGAAGCAGCTATGTACTCCGCTTCACATGTAGATCCCGCCACGACGCTTTGTTTAGAACTGCACCAACTGATAGCTCCACCGTTTAATATAAACACGTATCCGGTTTGCGATTTAGAATCATCCGGATCAGTGTCAAAGCTTGCATCGACGTAACCATTTACGACTAGCTCTTTGTCACCTCCATAAACGAGAAACATATCCTTAGTCCTTTTCAGGTATTTCAGGATGTTCTTGACTGCTGTCTAGTGATCCACTCCTGGATTACTTTGGTACCTCCCTGCTAAACTAATAGCAAGGCACACATCAGGTCTGGTACACAACATTGCATACATGATAGAGCCTATGGCTGAAGCATAGGGAACATCTTTCATTTTCTCTCTATCTTCTGTAGTGGTCGGGCATTGAGTCTGACTCAATTTCACACCTTGCATTACAGGCAAGAACCCTTTCTTTGCTTGATCTATTTTGAAATTTTTCAAAACTTTACCAAGGTATGTACTTTGTGAAAGTCCAATTAAGCATCTTGATCTATCTCTATAGATCTTGATGCCCAATATGTAAGCAGCTTCACCGAGGTCTTTCATTGAAAAACTTTTATTCAAGTATCCTTTTATGCTATCCAGAAATTCTATATCATTTCCAATCAATAATATGTCGTCCACATATAATATTAGAAATGCTACAGAGCTCCCACTCACTTTCTTGTAAATACAGTCTTCTCCAAAAGTCTGTATAAAACCATATGCTTTGATCACACTATCAAAGCGTTTATTCCAACTCCGAGAGGCTTGCACCAGTCCATAAATGGATCGCTGGAGCTTGCACACTTTGTTAGCATCCTTTGGATCGACAAAACCTTCTGGCTACATCATATACAACTCTTCTTCCGGAAATCCATTCAGGAATGCAGTTTTGACATCCATTTGCCAAATTTCATAATCATAAAATGCAACAATTGCTAACATGATTCGGACAGACTTAAGCATCGCTACGGGTGAGAAAGTCTCATCATAGTCAACCCATTGAACTTGTTGAAAACCTTTCGCAACAAGTCGAGCTTTGTAGAC